CTGGGTGTTTCCCCTGCCTACAATGAGGCTTGGCGCTTGCCAGTGCTGCCTCCAGAAAATTGGTGAGCAGAGCGTGCTGACTTGTGTCTCTGCCTTGACACACCAGGGAAGGGTCAAACCACATGAATGAGGGCTTTCATGGGCAGCTACAGGGACCCCATTTTTTTCCTTATAGAAGCCCTTCACTTGGTTTCAGAAGTGACAATCAAATGTGAACTTTCATGGTTTATTTATAGCTTTGCCTTACAGAGAGAAAGAAAAGAAGTGTTTAAAATGCTATTTTACAAAATATTTTTGTTTTTAAAAAGCTTTCATTGTGTGGGCAAAAAGGAAAAAGAAAAGTCACTCTATTCATTGTGCCGTCTAGACTCAAACAAAGAGGGTAGCGTGCTGCAAATTAAGATTGTCCGGCCCCTGCCTGCTGACAGAAAGTATTAATTTGGAGTCCAACTTCAAATAAACCCTTCTGAACAGAAATATATTGTGGGGGTGACTATATTTAGCATAGACCAGCATTTCCATAATAAGTTCATATTGTTATGCTGTGGTAATTTTCAGACTTAATACAGCCAGTGTGTTCATGAGGTTTCAGTTTTGTGTTAATTATCTGGAGAAATTGGAAAACTCAGCAGAGTCTGTGATGACAGGGCTGGTTCTCTGGGCATTCTCCATATTGCCTCAGGTGCCCGCAACAGCCTTTCGAAGACAAAGAAGGGGAAGAGAAACCTGCACCAGTTTGACTACCTTTGTAAGCATAACATTTTTTTTAATATGATGTGTTATATTTGTATTTTTTACAACAATAAAATCAATATATGCCACTGCAGAAAAATTTTTTAAAGTTGATAAGAAAAAAATTGTTACCCATGCTCTTGAAATTATTAACATTTCAATTTATTTTCATCCAGCCTTTATTATGCATGTGTAACTTGCCTTTAGTGACTTTGGTAAAACAAAAACTTGTGTGGCACAATTCCCACTATTCTTGAGACAGTTGAAAAACAACTTTATTTTTGCCCTCATTGTGCCTATTTGTGCAATAGAGCTAGCTTTTCCCTGTCCTTGTTAAAAATTCTAGTAATTCCATTATCTTCCTAGATAAGAACAAAGTCACTTAGGGAATAAAGATTTTATGGACCCTTTAAATTGTGAGTCATAGCCAAAATTCAGAAATTCAAATATCAAGGAATATATGAAAATAAAGTTAAGATGTCTCCCAATTTCCCCAGCTGGGCTTTGCACAAATGAGAAGTGGTAGCTCTGATCAGATTGGTCTCAGAAGCCTCTATTATAGAATTTTTTGGAGACCTTCTAACTCAGAAAGCCTGTCATCTGCAGTGTCTCTGTCCTTGTATTCCAGCAAATGGCTTATTTTTAATTCCTTGGAAATCCTGTAGTTCACCTCCAGCCTCCATAAGTGGCCATAGTGGACAGGATCTAAGACAACTCAAGATAGTCCTCTCACATGTAGGCCCAAGAGGTCTGTTGGAAATAGCCATGCCTTTGGGACAGGCTGTGGCAATGTTGGCTGATCCCAGTGCAATCCATCCTTCATTTCCTCATGGAAGCTGCCAGCCTGCCCATCTTCCCAGCAGGAATTGCTCAGAGTCCACTGTGCACCACAACCATAAGGACCTGCATCCAGGTCTCCATTTGTCTCAGTGGAGCCCTACTGCCTTAACTCATGAAGAGAAGACCTCCCCTGACACCTTGCTCTGGAAGAGGCCTGATGCACAGTGCACCAACAACTCTCTCCTGAGACTCTTGTTGATCTTCCACATGGATGAAAGATTTCAGAGAGTTGATTTACAGGTCTTCAACAACTCTTTCTACAAATTCTTCAGGGTGGTCTGTTTCCAGCTCACTGGGGTATCTTATATCTGTCATCTTTAGATCTCAGCCAAAACTTCCATTTTAACATTCTGTCACGTGCATTATCCTTCAGTTCATTCATTCCATCAACATTCCCTGAGTGCGTGTGATATGCCAGATGCTGAGTTTGGCAGTGAAAATAATTATAACAATTCCTGCCTTAAGGAACTCATAGTCTAGTTGGGGAGACTGATGTGTTAACAGAAAATTATGGCACCATGTCATAAAGATGGAGGCACAAGTTGCTGTGGGAGGAAATAGCTCAATCTAGGGGGCAGGCAGGCAATGAAGATGAGTCAGAGAAGTCTTCCGTGGACAGGGAGCCTGACCTAAGTTTAACTTTTAAATGGATTATTTTTCAGAAACAAAATAAACTCCTTTTAAATCTTCTAAATCTCTATTTTGAACATTTATTTCACAATAATTTATTTTTAAAGCAAGCAAAGGTAATGTGAAGAAGGAAGAGGGAATTCCCTTATGTCTGCCATTTGTCCACACATCTGTTACAGTAGGAAGGAAAATAACATTTACAGAGTACCTTCTATAATACAAGTTTCCTGGATCCCACCCATGAAGGCAATCCTGGAATGTTGTCTCAAGTCTGGAACCCAAGCAAAACCAGGAGGGGCATGCTCCCAGGGCATTTTCAAGATTCAGAGGTGGTGAAAGAAAGTTAGGGTCCCCTCAGAAGCCCAGCAGAGGAAGAAGCAGGAATGAAATGAGAATGAGTGGCAAAGCTAGTGCTGGGCATTGTGGAGGACACCTCAGCAACACGTGCGTGGATCTTGTTTTAAGGAAGTCAGAACTTAGCCTGTGAAGGAAAATGTTCTGATATGATGGGGCTGAGCAGAGCTTTTAACCTAGCCTTAAGTGGAGCAGAAGCAGCCTAATAAAATGTCCTTGCCTGCTCACTGTGATGACTCTAGGCAGCCATTTTGTTTGTTTATTTGTGTCTTGTCTCTGGTTTTCTTGTTAATAGTTTTTCCCTCATTTTTTATATCTCTGTCATTTCTTCCTGCTGTCAATGTGCTTGCTACCCTTAGCAGTTCTGATATCCCACTCAGCACTTTCTCATCTTTTGAGGGCTGGGAACCCAGATAACCAGTCCAGATTGTTCATGCTGTCCTTGCAGAAGAATTGGCAGAGCATTGAAAAACTGTAGAAGTTAGCAGATTAAAAGGAATTGGGGGGCTGGGGATGTGGCTCAAGCGGTAGCACGCTCGCCTGGCATGCGTGCGGCCCGGGTTCAATCCTCAGCACCACATACAAAGATGTTGTGTAAGCCGAAAACTAAAAAATAAATATTGAAAATTCTCTCTCTTTAAAAAAAAAAAAAGGAATTGGGTTTCCTTGAGTAATTATCAAAAAGAATTCTATTCACTTCTAGCATAGTGCTTATACTACTCTCTTTTGATCACAGCCAATGTCTTTTCCTTTCTATAGCGAGCTCCTTGATGGAAGGAAGGCTATGCAGCATGCCTCTCCATGTTTCATGTGTGGAGTGCTGGGCTGGGCACATGAAAGGGTTTATTGACTATGCAGGAGGTGCTGAGATTCAGCAATAAGCAGACCAAGTCCCTCCCTTCTGTTTACATTTCAGTAAGGACAAGAAAATGAACATGTAAACCAGTATAGGCATGGCACATCAGAAGGCAATTAATGGTATGCAAACCAGTCAATCAAAATAACATGGCAAGATGGTCCGAGGACACTTGGATATGTTTTGAAGATACCCAGTGTTCTCACATTTTGTATGATAGTCAGCTTTTCACATTTTTTTTCCTCCCCTGGCTAGTATTGAGTTTATCTAGGAAAAAAAAATAAACTATGTCCTTTGCAAATCTGGATCCCTAGCAGTATCTGGTACACAGAGAGTAATTAATAAATGTATGGCATATGATGTGGCACATGTGGCTGGGCGCAGTGGCACGTACCTGTAATCCCAGAAGCTCAGGAGGCTGAGGCAGGAGGGTCACAAGTTCAAACCCCAGCCTCAGCAAAAGTAAGGCACTAAGCAACTGAGTGAGATCCTGTCTCTAAATAATATACAAAAAATAGGGCTGGGGATGTAGCTCAGTGATTGAGTGCCCCTGAGTTCAATCCCCGGTATTTCTCACTGCCACTCCGCCAAGAAAAAAAAAAAGAAGTGGCACATATGAGCCCAAAATGACCACATCCTTAAAATAAGAGTTCAATAGCTGTAGCTAAGACAGGACCTGTTCTGTGAAGTGCTGTCAGGCCATTGCTTGCTATCTTCCTGAGTCATTTCTATTGGACTCGAAAGTTTGGGTTCATGCCATATCTCCTTACTTTCTCACGACCTTAACAGCCTTGGGAGTTGCCCAAGGAAAACGAAAACTTTCATCCACATAATGGAGCCAGCACAGTCTATGGTGATCTGAATGCTGTATATACCATACCACATCCTCTGGATGCAATGAACTGTTACCTACCTACCTGAGTGTTCCACAGTAAAAACACGGATGTCCTGGAGTAACATTCCAGAACTCAGGTCAGTTAGACTCAGTCCAGAGGTCTCACATCTGTATTCACAACTTAATAGATTGGGAAAGGAGCTGAAAGTGAATTGAAGAGTTAAGTAGGCAATATACTTAGTGGCTGATTATATGACTTTCTTACGCCCTTGGGTCCATGTAGTCAGGAGGGAAGGTAACTTATGCTGATCCTTGGAGGCAATCACAGAGGTGCTTGGCTTTCTGGGTAGTTTGCCCTAGAGGCCTCAACACACAGCTATTTTTTAAGCTCAGGATGTGTGGTCATAGTTTTAACCTTAATATTCCTTGGATCTTAGAAAGGTCCTTCTTAGAGGATCAATTCAAGGACGGTAAGGGTAAAAGTAAACCAGAGAGAGGGCTTTTTGAACAATCCAGGTTAGAGATGAAAAAGACCTCTATTAAGACCTCTATTTCACTGGTAGTGAGTTTGAAGATAAAAAGACAGTTGTGCAAGTGCCTTTTTCTATTGGCAGAAAAAAACAAGTTGAAAATCATACTGACTGAATATTGTAAAGGGAAGTGAATTCTAATTCAAATGTCATTGCTTGTCACAATCCTCTCTTTGGTTTTAGCTTTCCAACCCAGCTATCTGCTTTGTTTTCCATTTAACAGGAGGCAATGGCAAGAATGAGCAAAGTCGGGAAAGTTGTGTTTCCGAGACTTGAGGATAAGAAGTAAGTTTATATTTCTTATATGTGCAGTGCTAAATAATGAGAACATACAAATGCTTACAACTATGGATCTGAAATAAACTTTGAATGTTAGCTAAATCAATTCTTTCATTTAATAGTTGAGAAAACTAACTCCCAGAAAGATAAGGTCACTTTCACTTACTTAAAATTCAAAGCTAGGTATGGCCAGATCTGGTGTCTGATGCAAGCTTCTGAACTCTCAGACCAATTTTTTTTTCTGGGTCACTGGCAACAAATCTGGTCTTTTCTGTTCTTAAAAAAAAAAAAAAACAAAACAAAAAAAAACATCTTTTATATCTCCCTTCAAAGAACCCAGTAGCATCCATCCATTTTTTGTATCACTTGACATTGAGGACTTTTAAATGAGCTTGATCAGTGTTGTAAATCTCAAGTCACCACAATATTCATTCACTGAGTCTCTGCTATATTCAAGCCTCTAAGTTAAGCAACATGATTTAGAGGGGAATAAGATACAGTCTGATTTATGCACATAGGTCCTTTCAAAACAAAGGACTATGTTCTGCCATAGAAATGTTACCATGTGACAAAACAGCCCAAAGAAGAAAAGAATGTGACCTTATAAAGGTGAGGAAAACTTTTTGAGAAAAGATTAAGTCTCATTTGACATGAAATGCTTAAAAGAAATCGTAGACAGGCCAAGATAGAGAAGAACATTCTTGATAGAGGGGATGACATATGCAAAGATATAAAAATGGAACAGCATGGTATGTTGAAGTCACTATAAACAATTCATGATGCTAAAACACAGAATATGAGATGGGGAACCACAGGAGGTGAGATGGGAGGAGGAGGTCAGCTCAAAGTAGGCTGTGCTAAAGACCGTGAACCTCATGCTACAGGCAAAACAGAGATACTTAACCTTAAATGGTGGCTAGATGTGGTCAGATGCAGATCTTAGAAAGGTCCTTCTTAGAGGATCAATTCAAGGGCGGTAAGGGTAAAAGTAAACCAGAGAGAGGGCTTTTTGAACAATCCAGGTTAGAGATGAAAAAGATCTCTATTAAGACCTCTATTTCACTGGTAGTGAGTTTGAAGATAAAAAGACAGTTGTGCAAGTGCCTTTATAATTTTAGGAAATTATTTTTTGTTAAGACATAAATCCCACCACACAGTGTAATAGACACGCAAAGGTACAGATTCCACCAAAACATGTTGTTGAACAGTTTTGGAAATGTCCCTGAAAAAGTGATCCAATTTCTTTTCATTTTCTTTTTTTGTGCTCAGATGGAGTCAGGCTATTAAAACCCCTGAATATAAACCTCTCTCTAAACTCTGGGCTCAGAGGAGCAGAGGGCTCAGAGGAGCTTCCATGGGGAAGCTCAACCCAGGAACATGGAAAAGGCTGAGTTCCTGATGTACTGAGTTCCCAATGCATCCCAATGTAGGATGCTCTCCCTCTTTCTGCTCTCCTCATGGCGGCTGGAATATCCCTTGTTTTTTGAAATGAGAAACAGATTATCTTCTCCATCTCTTCCCTGACCCTCTCAAGACTTTCGAAGGAGGCCTGTTTCTAAGTTTTTGGTAAACCCCACGTGTTTCTTTTGAAAGAATCTGGCTTCTCTCTGGCAGCTGGGAGCTGGGCACCTATGAAGGAGGCACACATGGTGCTGCAGCACCATCTTCAGGTGGCCCAAAGATTTGCACATGGAAAGCAGGAACCCGTTTCCTTCTGTCTCATCACTTCCGATCACATTAATTTAACTACACGGGACATTTACTTAGATCTGTGCCACACAGAAGCAACTGACTGAGTTCAGGAGAATCTGGAAGAGAGTGGATTCATCTGACTTAAAAAGTCTAGATCACACAGTCTAATCTAATGACTACAATTCAATTAGCAATTTTTCAGGATGATTCCAAATTTTGTCCTTATGCTCAACAAATTTATACATGACTTTAGAACTGTCACTTAAAAGTATCTTGAAAAAAAATGTGTATTAAAAGACTATCAACAAATTTACACCATGTGTGGTGGCACATGCCTGTAATTCCAGTGGCTTGAGAGCTGAGGTAGGAGGATCACAAGTTCAAAGCCAGCCTCATCAACTTAGTGAGGCCCTCGACAACTTAGCAAGACCTCATCTCGAAATAAAAGATAAAAAGGGCTAAGGATGTGGTCTAGTGGTAAAGTGCAATCTCCAGTACAAAAAAGAAAATTAACAGGCAACCCACATAATGGAAGAAAATCTGTAAATTATATATCTGATAAGGAAGTAATATCCAGAAAAATACAGAACTCCTAAAACTCAACAACAACAACAACAAAATCCAATTCAAAATGAATAAAGGACTTGAATGGATGTTCCTCCAAAGAATATATAAATAACCAATAAGCACATGAAAAGTTATTCAACATTACTATTAGGGAAATTCAAATCAAAACTGCAAGATGCCACCTCACACCCATTAGGATAGCTACTGCAAGCAACAATAACAATAAAATAATAAGTGTTGAGGATATGGAGAAATTGGAAGCTTTAAGCATAAAATGGTATAGCTGATATGAAAACAAATGTGTCTGTTCTCCAAAAAATTGAAGAGAATTAACATATGATATAGCAATTCTGCTTTTGGTATATGTCCAAAAGAACTGAAAGCAAGATATGAAGACAGATCTATATACCCCTGTTTACAGCAGCATTATTCACAGTGGCTAAAGCCTTAAGAACAACTCAACTGATCCATCAGTGGATTAATGTATAAGCAAAAAATGATATATACATATAACAGAATGTTATTCAGATTTAAAGAGGAAGGAAATTCTTTGAGGTTAAGACAAAATTAAATAAGATAATCACAAAAAGACATACTGTATGATTTACCTATATGAAGAATAAGGCCAGTGAACAAAGTTGTTGCAAAGCCATTGGTATTAAATTTGGAAATCCTTAGACTGGTAAGATAAATCAGTGATAGAGCACTTACCTAGCATGTCAAAGGCCCTAGGTTCTATCCATAGCACCACAGAAAAATAAATATAAAATTGGAAATCTTAAAGTATGTGCAAAGATTACTGACCTTAGTCCCATTTTCCCAAATCAGAAAATCCATATTATGTGTGTATTGCCCAAAATTTATATTATCATAGAGGATCATTAGAAGCAGAGAATTGTCCCTAAAAAATCATTCTATGAGTATTGATTTCTGGAGACTCATAGAATTGGTTTTAGCGATATCTACATAACTAGATTGATGAAAATATTAGATTATTAATTACTTTAAAAGTAGCAACTAGCACTTATTATGAGTCAGGCATTGTTCTAAGAGCTTTGCATATATTGCCTCATTTAATTCACACAACAGTTCTCTTGAGGTAGATCCTGTAATTATTCCCATTTACACAAGAGGAAATGTAGGCACAACTGGATTAAGTACCACGCTCTGGGTCACACAGCAAGCCATGGGCCATGCTGAGATTCATACCCCAGCTTCAGAGTCTCCTCCACCCACCCCTTAACTGTGTGTTTGGCTCTATCACAGCTCCTACACTACCAGAATGCTTAAGGTAGAAATGTGTGACAAGTAGAAGCCTGTGTGCATCCAAAGTTTCTCTTACTGCTTGTCTCCCCCAATTCACAAGCTTCCTCCAGAGCTCCCTCATCAGGACTCCTTTTGGAATACCCCAGCATCTACCAAACCATGTTTAACTGGATTTATCAACCCTTATCCCATGTCAGTACCTCCAAGAAAAGGAGTAAGGACAAAGTTGCAAGGCTTCAAGTGCCATATTTGTCCAGGCCGCAGTTACCTTTCAGCATTGTGATACAAAGCAGCTCCAGCTGCTCTGACATCTGACTCATAGCCAGCACCAGTTCTGACAGGTCTCACCCAAAGAGTCAGCCAGAGAGGACAAGGAGATTGAGGTCCATGACCAGATGCCTGGAAGGCAGGGCACAGCAGCAAGAAAGTCCTTACACATTGTTCTCATGGTGTTTCACAATGGCATAAAGCAGTTTACCCAGGACTTCTAGGTGCAGGATCCATAAGAGTGATAAAACATTCAGTCTCATCTCTGGTTAGGCTATGGTTTTACACCAGATCAGTGGCTAGGCACGTAGCTGAAGTTGGGAATGTGAAAGGCTCTGTGCTAAGCCTGGGCCTTTTGGTACATGCAGCAGAGGCTTTGAAGTCAGACCAATCTGACTTGGAATTCCAGCTCTGCTGGTTTTTAGTTATAGTATTTTGTTTATACCCTGTGAAAAAGATGACCTTATCTCAGAAATGGAAATAATCCATGTAGCACTGCATGTAATTTATAGATAACAGGCATGACACAGACTAATCTATTGCCCAGGGTGCTGTAAGCATTCAGAACCTGGAAGGTGTCTGTGTAATTGTAACAGATGTATTTCCATATTTCTGAATGCAAAGCAACACTGCTTGATAAAGTCATCTTGAGACTGTTAAACATATTCATCTCTCTCCCACAGATATTATGACAAGAAATATCAAGTATTCCTGAAGCTGGTTGAACACCAGAAGGAGTATTCAGCAATCATGAGTGGGGACTGAACAGACAGACACCAATGCCATTAGGACCTCTGTCCTTGCATCTTACATTCAAGACCCTTTAGGTATCATCTCATCATTTCTGTATTATCTTCTAATAAAAATTTGGATATGTGCAACCAGAACTGGAATCTCCCATTTCAAAACACCACTCTTATCTAGTTGGCATTTTCTGTACAAGCACTGTATGCCAGAAGTCTCATGTGGGGTCACAGGATCTCACATAGGACTAGACCCTGGAGACCATTTAATCCAGTGGAGATTTGTACTTAATTGATTCTATAACCTACAATAAATGAAAGACATTGCTTTAGATAGAACATTTAATGTATGTTCTCTGTTCCTTATGGCATTCTCCTTCTTACATAGGATACTGTCTAGGGTCAAATATTGCTTTCAAATGCAAAAATCATCATTTTGCAATCATTATATTAAAGATAGGGATAGGCAAGGACATCAATGGATCCAGGAGGAAATTTTGATGAGTAACAGGATGTATGCATGTTCTTAAAATGTCTCTTCACAGATTGTTTATTAGTTACAAGAGGAAAAAGAATGTTAAAGATACAGGGAAGAAACAGGACAACATCTTGATTGGATGATCCAAATTAACTTCAGATGGGCAAATAGACATCATGTGCCTCCAGATGTGATAGCATGGAAAGAAATGGCATCACTCAGACTGGGAATGCACAGCCTGAATCTAATCATAAAGAAATATCAGAAAAACCCATCCTGCATTCTTTTTTCTTTAATGGACTATATTCTTCAAAAATGGCTATGTCATAAAGACAAAAGCTATGGAAAGTTTCCAGATTAAAGCAAACTAAATAAATAAACATGAAGGCTAAAAAGATTTTGGGGTAGACAAGTGTTTGCAAAACTATAGTTGTTTCAGTTGATACAAGAGCAAACACCTAAACACACACATATACACATATTCTCATTCACACATTGTTTCAGACCCAAGAATTAATGTTGATTTGGGAGCTATTACAGTTCAGGTGAGTTTGGGCATAGAATATGCTGAGGCTTCAGCAAAGTAAGACAGCAGACAGAAAAGAAAAATCCAATGGAATGCAATCAACAAATATCCTTTGGTACTTTCTGTGTGCCGGCATTATGCTAAATACAGAGGTACAGGAACAAATAAAACTTGGTTCCTACAGTCAAGGAGCTCTTGGTCTAGTAAGATGTAACCAGGTAAATCAACAACCTTGCATTTTAGAAGGTGCTGCAATGAAGGAAACCACTTGCTCTATGGAGCAGTCAGAAAAGGAGGCAGAAGGAAATGAAAAACAATCTGGCATAACAGCTGGATTCACTTCTTTCTTGCTAACTGACTTGGAGAAAGGTCCTTTGTAAGCCTCAATTTCCTTATTTTAAAATCTATGTATTAACAGTACTTACTTTACATGTTCTAATGAGGATTAAGTGAGTTCATGCATGTATGGCACCTAGCACAATTGCCTGGACCAAACCTGTCTTATTCTAGGGCCCGGCTGCTAGAAGATGCTCAGAATAACAGTAGTGGACACTGAGGATGACCACATGCAGTTGTGAAGGGCAGCACCACAACAGCATTGTACAATATCCAAAGGATATGAGATATCCAGCAGGCCCAGCAGCAGGAGGAAGCGTAGTTCATACATAGCTAGACCCCAGTTAGAGCTTGGGCTGGGGAGGAGAAAGGATGAGGAGTACCTCACAGAAGAAATAAGATGCAGCAGGATCTAGGCAAGATGTTAGGACCAGAATCAAACCAGCTTCCACTGCTAAAGCCAATCAGTTATTTTTTTAATATATTTTATTTGTTCTTTTTAGATCTACATGAAAGTAGAATGTATTTTGACATATCATACATACATGGAGTATAACTTCCGTTCTTGTGTTGTACATGATATGGAGTTACACTGGTTGTGTATTCATATATGAACATAGGAAAGTTATGTCCAATTCATTCTACTGTTAAAGCCAATCAGCTCTGACTCAGAATCCGGGGCAAGCCTGGGCCAGCTTTCATAAAGCACCGGTGGACACAGTAGCGCTGCCTGTTAGGAAAGGTGGGGACACAAGAATGAATAATTACCAACTATTTTCCAAGTCCTCCCTGTTTGTTCTTTCCAACCCTTACCACAGTATTGTGAAATAGAAAACACTCACCTCACAATCTAGGGGAGAAACCTGAGGTTTAAAAAAGATAAAACAGGTTGTCCAGAGTCACTCAGGCAGTGATGGAGATAGGATTCCAATTCACATCTGTGTCAGTGCAAAGCTTCAGGGGTCAACAGCTGGAGAAGACTCCTGACCTATCACCTGCTTTTTGGTTGCAGGTGATAGGTCAGGAGTCTTCTCCTGACCAGCCCGATGTGCTGGACAGAGGGAAGGTCTAAAAGATCCACGTTAGTTAATCTGTAAACCTCAGTCAGATCATCCTGCATCCCAGGGTTAGTGGTAAGGTTCAGTAAAAAACTGTGTAAACCCTGAGCATAATGTATTGCCATCTAACTGAACTGGTGACTTATGCTGGATTCACAAAATCTGACTACCTCAATAACTGATAAAACAGCGAAGAAAGCACACAAGCACACAAAAATACCTTTTCAAAATCCGGGATGGCTCTCGACATTAGGAGTCAGTTGAAAAGAGAGAGAGCGAGCTACCTGAACTCTTTATTCTTTCATACGGAGGACACACAAAGGGAAGTTAATGGAATGTTTTTCCAAATAAGGCAAAGGGTCAGGTTTCAGAGGGTTGAGTCTAGCTTCATGATGTCTGGTGGTCAGTAGACTGATTGACATCTTGGCAAGTCACACCCACATCTCAGGTGCTGTGTGGGATCAAAAGGCACAGCTAGCGAAAAGGACACAGACTTGCACTGTTCAGACAGAACAACAACATCAGTCCAGTCCACTTGTGCTCTCAAAATGCTCACAGCTCACACACAGCCCATGGCTGGTCCGCGACAATAATGTCTTGCAGGTAATAGACACTCTACTAACATTGTTTCTACATAGTTCTCTTTGTGCTTCCAGGAAAATCTGTGGGACATCCCCCCCTCCAAAAAAAAATTCTCATTCTCACTGTAAAACAGTGTTTGGGGAAAAATGGAAACATCTGTATAGATTTCTATAACACTATGTAACTGAATAACAAACATCATAATGACTCCAATACTCACCTTCTTGTGCTGGGAAAGAAGGCTTTATTTAAGCACACATGTAAAGTATATTTAGCTTTTATGACTAAGAATTCCATTGTGGCCAGTGTGGCTTGTGGGATTTTTGTTTTGTTGCCTACTGAAAGCTTTTCTTTCAAGTTGAAGCCAGCCTTACTTAGCAAATCATTTTGCCAAGGAACACACTACAGGATTTTAACTTTGACCAAACACACTTCCCATATGTGAAGAATATAAATGTGGCATTCTAAGAAGCCACAGGGAACAAAAGCTGGGGAAGGGAGATGGGGAAGAAAACACAAGAAGGACAAAATGGTGTGACGTGCTACAGATGTATAGTAAACAATATGACCCAATGCTGGAGTTAGCCAGTCTAGATGAGGCATCTGGAAGGGATGCCCCCTCTCAAGGACTCCAGATCAAGCAGTTGGTCTTTATATTCAGAGCATGGTTCCATTGTTGCCAGGTGAATTAAGGAATATAAGTCTCAAAGACATCCCTGGAAACTTCCATCTTTTACTAGGTCCAAGTCAGCAGGCAAGGGTAGCAAGCTGGGATTCTGCTTTAATAATAACAGGGTCTGCTATTTCTCACTGCCCTGAGGATAATCAAGTCATTCTGGTTCACTTAGTCCCTTGGCCACTGGCCTGTGAGCTGTTGGAGGACACAGACTCTCTTAGGACCTTGTTCCCTGCACTTAAACAGTTCTTGATTCACAATGGGTGCTCGACAAGTGAACACATACACAAACACAAGATATTTTTCTGCAAAAAGAATCCCAGAAGTAAAAAATATCAAGGAGCTCTCACTTTCAGGTCAAACAATCTCTGGTATGTGTTAATGTGCCTTCATTTAACCAACCGTCAAAAACTTTAAAATGTGATTTGGTCACTTAGGGTTACAAAAATCATGCCTTGTATCTAATGTCTTGCTTTTGGTTTTTTTATTGCCTACGTTAGTTACACACATGATAAACACACTCATTTTGGTTTGGTTTGTAGCTCAAGCTCAGAAATTCTTTGCAAATTTGCAATGCTGTTACAGATCATTTCCTGCATAATGTCTTATGGGAAACCAACTGCATCCTTGTTCAGAAATACCCATTGTTCACTGGGGCTTTAGTACAAATACTTTTAGAATTCAGGACGTAGTTACAAATAATTACCATCAAATAATTTAAAATGAAGGACATTATCGCTAAACAAGAAACTAATGACTGAGCAGAGCTGTGTAATGTAATTATACTTAAGATGGAACTTCTGATGGATTACAGAAGAATCTTTGTGCTGTCTCGTGTCTCCATAAATATACTTAACTGCTATTGACAGTAATAGGAAGCCTCTTGAATATAAAAAGCTTTTTTTTCCCCTTTTATGATTTCTTAAGGGAGAAATTAAAAAGTACATCTTTAAGAAAGGATGTTTCTCTCAGGACTCCTGAATATTTGGCAGTTCTATTAAATTTGTAACACTAAAGTAACCTAAATAAAAACAAAGACTTCTGCTAATAAAGTCAGGCTTCTCAATTTAGCATTAACTCACCCATTAATTTTGTGGTCAATTTCCATTCTGCACAGAAAATCATTTAAAATTGCTATTAGCATAAATGCTTCTAAAGATCTAATTTTTATTTGCCTAAGTCATGCCTTAAACCTGGATTAGAAATGTTTTTCTTATTAAAATCTAGGCTGAGACTGATTCCTTACTGTACAATTTTAATATGTGCTTGAAATGCAAAATGTTTTATTCATTAATGTCTGTTATTTAACCATAATCATGCCTAAATGATGTCTCCCATTTGAATATTTCTTTATTCTCTTTATTCATCGCACATACATTACCTTTTCTGCTTCTCATAGTAAGGTGAGGTAGGCCTTAAAGAGTGGGATCTCACTTTACAAACACACAAAAAAAGAACACATCTCCAAGAGTTTAAGTAATTGGTCCAAGATTATGTAGCTGGAACACAGATGCAGGACCACTCTGCTGCTTCTTCCTAAATAAATTCAATTAAGCTTATTTGTGCAACAGAGGATGATTCATTAGTTTGCTAATTGCTCTCTCTTCTGTGCTTCCCCTTGTTAACATGTATAATTATCCAGAAGGCCCTTTCTGATTCTCATTGGTTGATCAAAGTACTGTACTATTTCTACTGGCAAGCAGCGGTAAAGAGAGAAACCCTTGGGCCATGGAATCATTGAGTCCTAACTTCAAATCACAGCTTCACTACTTACACTTCACTACTTACTACACGGGGCATGAATTCACACATAGCGAGTTAAAGTATCAGTTTCTGTGTTGTAGACATAAACTTGGAGAAAAGAAAATCTGCCTCATGGCTAATAGGAGGATTCAATGGGACGATATAATGTTCCATATCAAGTAGAAATACAACAAATACCAGTTTATCTCCTGAACCAATTATTTTATAGAACTTCTAGAAGCATAGATTACAGTCAAGTTGGACAATTATATATCCAATTTCTACAGGTAAACTTTTTATCTTACATCAATAACAGTCAGCCATTACTGAAATATTACTCTATCAAGAGTGATAGGATAGTTCCTGACATGGCACAACAAGTCCAGAGAAGGGACATACATGAAAAAATAACTAACAACCACAGAAAACTAGTGCCAGGTGCCCAAGGAGCACCACAATTGGTGGATGCTACAGCCAGCCCAGGGATGCCAGTTATGTGTAGTTGTGTCTTCAACGGTTCAATTGGAAATGATGAAAGTGAAAACATTGCCAGCCCCGCCTTTCATAGCTCTGCAAAGCTGCAGCCACTGAAGATCTTTTGCCTACAGACTCAGCTCTACCCCATTTTGGAGGTTACCTGGGCCAAGGCAGGCAGTATAACAGTTCAGAAAAACCCCAAACCTTCTCTGCCAGTGGATCTGGAATTGGTACTTCTTTCACTATGCCCTGAGCATCTGGGGCCTCTCCAAATCACAGCTTTCTCCCTTAAAATACAAACATGTTTGCCTAATTTGGCTTGACTCCTTGAAATTGCCACATTACACTTCCATCAGGCACAAAAGAAAAGATAGATATTGGGTCCCCTGATAGGATTTGCTATATTATGCCTAAGTCACTTATCAAGGCACATGCCTCTCATTACACTCTCTTCTACCCAGAGCCCTCCTGGACTCAGGCCTCATTTACAAACCCCTTCATTTCCAGCTCCACTATCCCTTCAATTTGAATTTCAAAATACCGTCTCCCTGGGTGGAAACTTGGCCATACTTCAACCATAGGTTAAATTCTCCTTTCTGCCCCTCTGGCTTATCAATCATTTCTCCCACCCTACTTTATACTTTACCTCAAAAAGCCTTGTCTCACTTTAAGCCATCTGGGAAGCTTATCAATCTATGCCCAGCAACAGAAAAACCAGAAATATCTAATTTACCCTTCAGTTTCCCTGCAGGGGCCAAATGTTACATGAAAGGCTACTTAGATGGAACCCTGATATATTATCTAGCTCTTACTAACTCTCTCCCTTAGGGGCCAAATCCAGTTCCCCATAATTCTTCAAACACCAATTTGAGCCTTGCTTTAGCCCAATGCAAACTCCCAGAGAGAATCCAACAGTCTTCAAGCATAGTTTCTGACTAGAAACATCTATTGTATTGCCAGCCACTCGGCTGTGAGTGATTGCAATGGAAGATGTGCTCTCAGTTCTTTCCGGCTCCACTCCATGTGACAGTGTTTCATCCTCTGGCCTCCTTGTGGTTACGAGATCTTATGACCAGTTTTGTTTAGTGAACTGTGGGAAGGAAGGAATATTGTTATTTCTGGGCCAAGCCTTTGATTGTCAGTGTGAGAATCCCCAGAGCTTTCTTTGCTCTTACACAACAACCAGCCATGTTCCAGATGGGGACCCTTCCTCAGATTGGGTGCCACAGTGAGGATGGCTCTGAAAAGAGCTGCCATTAACCCATGGACATGGAGCAGCCCTGACATGCGCCTTTGTTGATGAAACCACTGAAATTTTAATTTTATTTCTTACCGCAGCATAATCTAGCCCATCCTAACTATATTCCTCATAACTGGTACACCTCATGCCATTATATCCACCTTGACTTACGTGGAGGCTAAATTTCCCAACAGCAGAGCAGCTGGCTGGGTCTTGCTTAGAGCACATCTTGTAGCCAATTTAAACTCCCCTTGGTCCCAGCCCATTGTGATCCCTTTCCAGACTGGCATGTGTCAAGCTCTCAATCTCACAAGTAACTAGGAAGGGACCCTCTTATTGTATTACAGGATTTCCCAAGAGAATGTGTATCGGTGGGAATGGTGTTTAACTGCAAACGATGATAATCACCTGACAGTGGCTTTTTTGATAGTTGTTATTGCCTCAATAAGAAATACAGACAGGTAGTCATCAAGTTGACATGTGGATTCCACAATTCCACCAAAAAGTCAAGCCTTCTGTGTGCATACCCTATCCCTAAATCACCCATGCATGCGTATAACACAGACACCTTGACATATTATCAAGTCTTTGACTAAAAGAGTGAAAAGCTCTTTCCTCAAGATCAAGGCAGTATCAAAGGATAATATAGGTAACATTAGCAATTTTGTGACACATGGAGTTCCTAATACTAAATTTCATGAGATGCATTAAAGTGCTAATTTAAATTCCAAACTTATATAAAAAATTTTGCTATCATCCTTTTGACAATATACTTTTTAAGATTTTCAGTCTATTTAGTGATTTTGAAAGTTTTTGCGTATGGTACAAGATAAAAACTTGTTATAGTAAAAAGGATTTGAAAAAAAACATAGTTATTTTAATGCCAAGCATGTGTTTATTTTTTTGTGCAAATGTGCATTTCCCTTTTGACATCTACATAGTAATTCATAAGGTATAATTTCTAAAACATATGTTTTAACTGTTCTACACAGGTGCTCTATTGAGCTGGAGAACATATTGTGCTTATATGTATTCAAGCATATGTTTCAATCCCACTCTTCTTATAACAAACACTTGGTAGACTTCCTGCTATTTATGCCAGGAACACGTATTTGGCCTTGATATCCCCTACCCTTTTTAGTAGAGGGATTTACAAGGAAATTCCGGGAGGTTATAAAACCTACAGGAAATAACTGTAAATACAAAGTTGACTTTGTTAGAAAGGTGATTGAGTTGGTAAGTATGTAGTTAAAAAACAAAAAAACTTTATGACTATAAGTGCAGAATGGGATAACAATGTGTCCCCTTTGCATTCTTCTCTTACTATCTTACTCTCCCCACAAATTTTATGCAGCTGTATGAATATTTAACTCAGTATTTTAAAAATTGATATTTCTCATACTACACTTTAAGCACAAATCTTGTTTTCCACAATATGACAGTCCTTGTACCAATGAGAATAACCGATAATAATAGTAGCTAATTTTGGATAATTACCAGGGAAGGCTATGCTCTGAATGGTTAGTACTGTTACCTCCCTATTATAGATGAAGAAAATACAGCACAGAGAGTTTATATTATTTGCCCAAGATACACAGGATATCTAGGATTCTTAACCATTATTTTGTACTCACTAATAGCAACAATAATAAGAACCACCCATGAGAATGCAAATTGTGTTCCAGGAACCTTCATTGACTCACTTCATCTTCATAACCCTAAAGGTAAATAATATCCCTGTTCTATACATGAGGAAACCAAGGTTCCAAAAGACTGAATAATTCATTCCAAGTTACATCCTGGTAAGTAACTCTAAACAACCTCCTATATGTATTGAAAGATGTTTTGGGCTGAGCTGCAGCTCAGGTTTTTAAAATATTGGTGACAGGAGACAGACAGTGCCCCATTTGAACTATATGAATGGTAGTGTCCTATGATTAGGAGAGGAGGAAGGAGCTGAAGGCTCATGAAGAGAAAAGCAAAACAGAAAGGGTGAATGGGCTAATGGGCTGCTGGGTTTTTTTCCTCTCTTCTTTCTTTCTTTCTTTCTTTTTCTTTCTTTCTTTTTTGATGTTATCTATTTATACTTTAAAATTTTCTCAAACTGGGGTGTAGTTTAGTAGTAGGCCCAGCTATCCCACTCCGTGGACTTCACCCTCTTGACCTTTTGAAACAGCTTAGAAAGAGTGAGGACTTACCACTGGAGGGGGCTATGTTCTTAATTCTTTGGACTTAGTCACAAGCAGCACAGTTATGAAGGAGAGCTCAGCAAACTTTTCCTGTAAAAAGCCACATGGCAAATATTTTCATGTTGCATATCATAAGGTCTCCGTCAATACTGCTCTACTCTGCACTGTGACGTATAACCAGAAACAGGCCATATGCAAATGAACAGGCATGGCTGTGTCCGTGAAAGTCTGGGAGACTACTCGCTATTCCTTGTCAACCTGCACTGTTAGTCAGAACACAGCCTTCGTCTACACTTCCATAACGTGCTACTGCTTGCTTCATTCACAATTTATCCTCACGCTTCTGCCATCATCATGCCAAGGCATCAACTGTGCCTCCTGGAGCCTCCACTCCATTGCAAATATGTATCCTGCAGTGTGTCTTCACTCTCCCTGATTTGAACTGAAGCCTCACTCACTCTTGGCCAAAGACCTTACATCATTCATTCACTCATCTAACAACAATGTATCTAGTAGGAACTCTATCAATAATAACTAGCCTTGCATTGTTGTGTGTGTGTTACATATATTAAGCCCTCCAAATCTCACAACCACGTTATTTTCCTTTATGGGTCAGAAAACTGAGACAAAGAGTGCTTAAGAAACACTGCAGTAACATCTCTTAAGTGGCAGAGCCAGGAATGCACCCAGGCTCTGGAACCAAGTTTTATCCCCCATACATCACTGTTCTATAAATGGACATACAGTAGAGACCACTAGAGAGATCATCCCTGTTTAAGGGGAAGAATGTTTTTAAATTTTCATCTTGCAATACTTTTAATTTTGCAGAAGAGCTTCAAATGATACAGAATTCCCATATATCCTTAGGTTTCCCCAACAATAACATCGCACACAACCACACACTATTTATTAATACTAAGAAATTAATGTGGATACAATATTACAGACTTAACTACACATTCTAACAGCATTTCACCTGTTTGTCCACTAATGTCATTTTGGTAGTTCAGGATCTAGTGTAGGGCACACGTGGCATTGAATCATCATGTCTCCTCAGTCTCCTCCAATCTGTGACAGTTTCTCCCACTTTTGTTTTTTATGATCTTGACGCTTTTGGAAAGCATGGATGAGTTATTTTGTAGAAAATCCCTCAAGTTGTTTTTGATTTTATTTTATTTGTTCTTTTTAGATATACATGATAGTGGAGTTTATTTTGGCATATTATACATACCCAGGGTGTAACTGATTCTAATGAGGATACTATTCTTGTGGTTGTACATGATGCAGAGTTACTCTGGACATGTATTCAAATACAAGGAGAGGAAAATTATGCTCAATTAATTCTACTGTCCTTCCTACTCCCCTTCCCCATCCCTTCTCTCATTCCCCTTTATCTATTTCAATATACTTCTGTTCTTCCCTACCCATCCTCACATGTTGTGGGTTAGCATCCACATATCAGAGAGAATATCTGGTCTTTGGTATTTTGGAAATGGCTTATTTTAATTAGCATAATATTCTTCAGTTCCATCCATTTACTGTCAAATGCCATGATTCCACTCTTCTTAATGGCTGAGTAGTATTCCATAATACTTTCCATAATGCTTTCCATTGTGGTTGCACCAATTTGCAGTCCCATCAGCAATGTATGCAAGTACCTTTCTCCCCACATCTTTGGCAACCTTTATTGTTACTTGTATTCTTGATAATTGCCATTCTGACTGGAGTAAGATGGAAACTCAGGGTAGTTTTAACTTGCATTTTTCTAATTACTAAAGATATTGAACATTTTTCATCATATATTTTTGACCATTCAGATTTCTTCTTCTGTGAAGTATCTGTTCAAGTCTTTTTCCCATTTATTGATTGGGTTATTTGGGTTTTCTTGGTGTTGTTTTTTGAGTTCTTTGTATATCCTGGAAATTAAAGCTCCATCTGAAGTGCAGGTTGTAAAGATTCTCCCATTCTGTAGGCTCTCTGTTCATATTCTTATTGTTTCCTTTGCAGTGAAGAAGTTTTTCAGTTTGATATCATTCTATTTATTGATTCTTGATTTTACTTCTTGCACTTTAGGAGTCTTATTGAGAAAGTCAATTCCTAAGTCCACATGATGGAGAGTTGAGCCTACTTTTTCTTCCATCCGGTGCAGGGTTTCTGGTCTAATACTTGATCCACTTTGAGTCGAGTTTTGTGCGGGGTTAGAGAGGGGTTGTTTCTTTCTATTTCATATGAATGTAGTTTTCCCAGCACCAATTTTTGAAGAGGCTATATTCTCTCAATGTATTTTTTGGCACCTTGGTCTAGTATGAGGTAACAATATTTATGTGGGTTCACATCTATGTCTTCTATTCTATTTCATTGGTCTTCCTGTTTGTTTTGTGCCAATACCATACTGTTTTTGTTACTATAGATCTGTAGTATAATTCAAGGTCTGGTATTGAGATGCCACCTGCATCATTAAGTTGGTTTTGTTTGATGTGTTTCTATAATCAGACTGGACCCAAGAATTTGGGGCTGAATAGCAAACAGGTGATGTGCCCTTCTCATAACATCAGGTCAAGAATGCATGCTATATATGAGTCATCAGGTGAGTTGGAATTAATCATTTGGCTAAGGTATGTGTGCTATATTTCTCTGCTGCAAAGTTATTGTTTTTCACTTTTCAGATTCTATTAGCAGTGAGTACTAAGTCCAGCCCACATTCAAACGGAATAGAATTAAGCTCTACCTCCTGGAGGAGGGAGAACTACATTTACCACTTAAAATTCCACAGGGAATATTTGTCCTTTCTTTCCCATTTGTTTTCTTGACCATTTACATCAGTATGGATTCATGGAAGTTTGTTTTATTCTTTAGGTTATAATCCAGTACTGTCACTATTTATTTTGCTACACAGATTCTTACAACTTTGGTCGCTGGGAGCTTTCTCAGGTTAATTATTTTGTCCTTTTCACATTTCCATTTTGTTTAAGACTTTTTCTGCTTTTTGTCACTACCACCTGCTCCAGGCTTAGCTTATGTTTTTCTGCCCCCACCCTACAATCAGCCACTTCCCAAAGAACTCATTTCTTTTGTGGAAGAATAGTGTTAGGAATCAAGTTTTCAGTGCCCAAAATGCTTTAGGTTCTTTCAGGGAAGCAGCCCTGCCCATAATCCCACTGTTCAAGAAGTAACCACATGGCTTCACCTACTCATCTTTGGCCCTGGAAGCAGCTAGAAAGTCCCACCCATTCTCTTGCTGCCCCAGAAACACTAAGGTGGCCCACCCATCTACCCTTGGACCCAGAAAATAGCCAGGAAGCCCTGCACCCTTTTTCCCCAGAAGCAGTCATGCAAACATCCCTGAGTAGTTCAGCCTGAAGAGGTCCAGTTGAGCAGAATTTCCTGAGTGGCCCTGTCTACAGAAGCCCCGTAAGAAGCAACCAGGTGGTCCTAGTCATGCTTCTATCATCCCAAGAAGCAGCTGAGCAGCCTGTTCTCAGAAGCTCAGCCTACTGAGGTCATGGGAAGCAGACACACAGCTCAGCTCACCTACTCTCAGTTCTAGGAAGCAGATGGACTGACCTTCTGAGTAAGTAGTCCCACCAAAGGCCTTGTGAAGTCACCTACACAGCCCTTAGACACAGATAGGGGCCATCTGTGTCCACTTGTGTGTTCTAGCCCCCATGTGGCTTTTAGACACTGACATACACCCCAATACTTGGCATACTAATGGGATCAAGTGGGTTATAGCACAGGATGATTAATGGGTACAGGGGTGCAGTTAGACAGGACAAGTAACTTCTAATGTTCTGCAGCACAGTAAGATAACCATTGCTGACAACAATTATTTGAATATTTCAAAATATCTAGTAAAGAGAATTTTGAATGTTCCTAGTACAAAAAATGATATATATTCATGTCAATTACCTTGATGTGATCATTACACATTGCATTCATGTACACTGTACTCAATAAAGATATACAATTACCGTGTGTTTATGAAAAATAAAAATAAAAATTTAAAGTTAGTTTTCTTTCACTGATTGGCAGCTTTTAGAGTATAATATTATTTTATTGTGCTTATATTTTCATTGTAAAGCAATCGAGTTTCTTTTTGAAATTAGGACAGTTTTAAATTTTGTAAAAATTAACAAAGAAATAAGACCATTCAACCTACCACTCAGCGAAGGAATTTTCTCTTTAGCACACGGATGACAGCCCCAGCATGAGGATTCCAGTAACATGAAGCTCCTGATGTGGTTCTGTTTTCCTGAATTGCTCTAGTGACAGTAAAGTTATTAAATGTTTATTGATTGTTGGACCAAATGCATAAACAACTATCTGTTATTCTTGTTAAATAATGAGGCAATGGCTATTTTTAAGTGTTTGTAGTGTCTCATGCAATAATCTAAAGTTTTACTAAGTGCAAAGCACATTAAGAGAGCAATTTGTTTATTAAAAGCATGGGTTTTTTTTTAAAGCATGGACTAAATATAACTATAAAAATGAAAATAGAAAGTTTTATATCATCTGCAGAGCAGCACTGTTAGAATGCAATAAAGACAAATAATTATCCCCCAGAGGAACACTGTTACAACCATTGCTTAATTATGGTTTATTTTTCCTTGACTCTTGTGGTAATTATTCACTCATTTGTACTGAGATGATGACAGCTTTTTAACAGCATGGTTGCTTTTGTTCCACACACCCCATGCTTTCCTCTCATTTTAGCCCTAAGACAAATTATTCAACTATTTTCAGGTCCTAAGTTTATTTTTAATGGTGTACATGTCTATTTATATTTATGATTCTCTAATTTTAAATAATTAGGTATTTTCATTTTGATATTTTAAAAATATATTGAGTGCCATTTAAAATGTTAAGGAATTCTCAGTCTTTCTACCATACATAAATTTAAGTTTGAAAGTGGAGCCAGAATAGCTTTGGGACTTGGGGTCATAAGACTTGGGTTGGAAAGGCACATACTAGCTATGTGTGAACTTACACAAGTTAATTAATCCCTCTGGGCACTCTTCATTTTTAAGGTACAGTCAGTGGTAATCACTCTTCTACTTTGTTATAAGGTTCAAATGAAATAATGACTTTGCACACCATAAAATTCTTGTCAGATATCAGTCAGCCTCTGTTTTCATTCATTCAAAAACTTTTACCAAATGCATACTACCTTCCAGGCACTGTGAGAAATGTACAGATGTTTGACTAGAAGATCGTGATGGCAACAATGTTTCTCGGGTTTAAAAATGTACACAATAATTCTTATGTCTATGTAACAATATCAGAGTGTTATAGTGGTATTATGCTTCCTCCAAATAAACCTTTCTTCAGGTTTACTTTTTATTAATTTTGGAAACAATAATCTTATTCTAATTTTGTAATAGATGTATTATAGACTGAATGTTAATATTAAATGATAGAGCTGAAACTCTGGGTTTGAAAATAGGATGCAGATTATAATTTTATCACTTCTAGACAGAAAAGTCAGAGGACATTGGTTAGTTTTGTTTTCAAAGTGGTGGATACTCTCAGGCTTTATGCCTAGTGCTGACTCTGATTGACTCTTCCTATTTGGACTGACAGTGGTCCCAGATGGAGTTTCAGTACAAATGGTCATGGGAAAGACTCCTGAGTTTTTATTTTTCTTTTTTTTCCAAGAGTTTATTTCAAAGAAATTGAAACAGTGGTGAGGACTCCAAGAGCAAGAGAAATGTGAGCTGTGATTACAACAGGGGCAGCAAGGAACTGTAATTACTAAAGGGGCCTCAAGAGACAATAGGATAATAGACTTGAGTTCAGCGATTCAACAAATACTTACCTACTTACCGAACATTCACCATGAACAATGCACTGAGCTAGCAATAGGGAACACAAGAATGGATACAGGCCTGATACTCCTTCCATGGAGCTTAGAGAAGTGAAGAGTTTTGAAAAGCTCAGAGGACTCTTCTAAGTAGAGAGAAAACAATATCTGGGAGGGATCCGGACATAAGAAAGTGTATCATGTCTTCAAATTATTCCTGGAGCGAAAAGGATACATACTGAGGTGACATGTCCTGTATACCTTTTTAATCCATCACAATCTTTGGCATTAGGTTGTCCACACAGAGACAAACATCAGACCTTTTTGGGGAAGTGGGGATACTGGGAATTAAATGTAGGAGCTACCACTGAGCTACCTCCCAAGTCCTTTTTTATTTTTTTATTTCTAGACAGAGTCACTAAGTTGCTGAGGGTCTCGCTAAGTTGCTGAGGCTCGCTGAACTTTCAATCCTCCTGCCCCAGCCCCTGGCATTGCCGGAATTATAGGCATGCACCACCATGCCTGGCCACATATTTTTGAATCCATAATAAATGATGAACATCAATGACTCTGGCACCACTGGACCAACTGAATTTCTAGAGCTTATCTGGCTTAGGGTGCCAAAATCTTAGTATCTTCAATGAGAAATTGAATCTTATTTGCTATACAGACTGATATGGAAATATAATGAGGTGACATGTGGGAAGGCAATTTTTAAAATGTAAATACATCATCAAATATTCATTGTTCCTCTTTGAGACAATTGGAGGAATGGAAATAACTTGGAAAAGAACCATATCCAGGAAGATTCTAGATCCAAGAGGATCAGAATCCTGGACATTTTCTTAATTTTAATTCTTATCTTGTCATGGAACAGGATGTTTTTGAAGCAAAAATAGTTGTATTTGTGTCAATGTCAGAGTCTCATAAACTCAGCTTGAGGGAAGAAGAAGAAGTACCCAGCCTATCAGCTTGAGCAAGGGCAGAGCTGTTGTGCTTGAAGTTTGCAGGCCAATATGCCTGGGTTTCACACCAGAGTAGAAAGTGGGCAATTTGGTTAAAGAATAGCCACTTTGGATGTTATCCCCACTGAATCAAGCTCATCCTTTGATTATATACATATAGGAAGACATATATGTTAAAAGGAAACTTGTTAAAGTTTTAGTTTGAGTTATGAGATAAGATATATAAAAACACATTAAAATCTACAAATATTTATAAAAGTATAAGAAATTGCTATCATTGATAATATTTTTATTTTTATAGTGGTCTGAATCATTATAATCTTAAAGGTGAAGCTTCTTTTAAAAATGTGCTTTGGGAATTTCATTAAATGGTTTTGAATGGAATCCAAGTCTTGAATATCTTAAATGAATTCCACGGTCTTCTGAATATGTTATAGTGTTGCTTAGGATATTAGATAATGGAACTGTGACCCTACAGCTTTAGTGAAACTAATGATATTAATAAAGCCAAATAGGCCTTTATCTAGGATGACAAAACGAAATTGCACAGCAATTTTTATTAACAACCATTGAGATATCCTTGGAATAATGCCACAAAGTTGGAAAAGGAAAAATTAATTATTTGAGAGTGCATTCACATATGGCCATATGTCTTTTGTTAAAGTACCTGAAGAATGAGAAGCAGACAAAAATAATTTTCTCCACCTACAAGGAACCTGAATAAAAGTAAAAGCCTTGCATGATGTTCTCTATAAACTTAGAAGCCACTCTCCATAAGGCTTCATATTCCAAAGACCTTGTATTATTATCAGTTAATTTACTGGTTACACCAAGCATAGCAAATGAATTTCAATTCCTCTGACAATACTAATTGATCCATAGTGGTTTCTGGGGGCATTTATAAAAAGAGACTGTGATGTGAAACCCATTCCAAAGCAAAGATCACTGATAGGTATGTTCCATTATGAGTCTACGTGGTTAGCAACCCCAGCACAGTTACAGTAATGGCCCTGTATTAGGAAAAAGAAAGATGAAGTACAGGACCAGTTAGTCATTTATTCATTTATCTATCCTTTACCTCTTCAAAAAAGACATGGAAGAAAATACAGGTAACATGGTAAGACAAAGATTTGAGGCAAAAGGAAAGTAAGATAAATAGTAATGTAAGGTCACTACTAAATGGAAGCTATTAAACTCTATATACTGACCAAAGAGGGCTTAAACTTTGACTCTGAATTTCCTAATAATCATATTAAAAATGGAAGGTGTAATTATTTGGTAGATTCAGATGATGTAAAAAAATAAGGCAGGTTATACAAGGAAAATGAAACACAAACATTTTGCCATCAAAGTATAGAAGACATAAATTTTAGTCCTCAGTCTGCCATTTGGTAGCCATCTGACTTTCTACAATTTATTTAACTTGATTATCCCAATGTTTTCATTTGGCAAATGTGGATAATAATGCTGTGCAATAGTTCAGATCTTAGTTCTCTCCCATATGGCAAAGGATTAGTTCCCAGAATGGCACTATTGGGAACTGGTGGGCACATTAAGAGGTGTGGGACCTAGTGGGAGATCTGGGTCATTAGGGGACTGTGGTATCCAGATCTCCTCTCTCTTTCAGTTCCCAGCCATGAAGTGAACAGTTTTGCTCGGTCACACCATTCCATCATGGTGTGCTTCTTTGCCCCAAGCAATGGGGCCAATTAGGGACTAAAAACCTCCAAAACTATGAGTCAGAAATGAACCTTTGCTTCTTAAAGTTGATTATCTCAAGTATTTGTATAGAGATGGAATGTTGACTGACACATGCTCCTTTGTGAATTGTTCTGAAGTTAAGTGATAAAGTGGTTATATTCTTTATTTTTGCTTTGAATTACGTAGATTCATTGCTATTATTTCCTTGCCCCACTCTAGGTCCTGGCCTTGCAAATGGTACCGGCTCTGCTCCTTTGCCCTCTGGTTTCCTGATCCAGCCTCCCTTTACCTTTGGCTTCGTTTTTGGTTCAGCCAAAAGGACACATCCTCTTGCTCCTGCATCAAGGCTGAAGGTCTAATTGTAGCATCTCCCTTTATGACAACTCCTGATGAGTTGCATTCACAATGCCAGCTCTCGCCAAGCCCCAAGAACATGGCTACTTCCTCTTTTTCTTTTTGGCCTATGAGTAGGCTCCTTTATGTTGCCATCCCTGGGTGCCTTAGGATTACTTGCAGGTTTCCTCAGTCCCATTCATACTTCTACGCATGGTGCCTTCATTAAATTCTCAAGAGAACCCAATGTGAGTGTGAAATCTATATTTTGCCAGGCCTCTGACTGATACAATAAATGTTTATAGCAAAGTTGGAGTGAAGGGAGTAGTGTCCCATTTTTGAGCTCCTGCTGTAGGCCAACACAGAGCTGGGCACTTTTATGGCAGATAATCAATGAACGCTAATAAATCTAAAGAAAGGAGTATGAGGCAGATAAATCAGAGAAGAGCAAGTGTCACCAAAATCTGAGACATGGGATTAGGATCCTTTCCATCAGTTTACCCATTCTGCCAGCTCAGAATGTAAACATAACAAAAAGGGACATCAGAATTAATCAGCTCAATTAGCCCGAACAACAACAATATAAAATGTTGTCCTAGGTCTGAATAAAATTTAAAGAGCAATAGTGTATATAGCAAAGAGCAAGTATGTGGTATTTCTTTGTGTAATTTAATGTAACTTGGTTGTACGATGGAGATGATCAGGCATAAACAAAAATTAATGGAGTGACTGGTGTTCTCACAGAACTATCCATTTCTGGAGTGATTTAAAATTTTCAAATGATGTTCCATCAGAAAGAAAGTATTTCGCATCCCGTTCACAGACATCTATGTGTGCATATGCACACGCAATCAAGTTTAGGAATGACTTAAATGAAGAGAAAAAGAAACAAGAAGCCACAAAGTGTATCATTCCTAGTGTCTAACACAGGCACAAGTATATGGGTGCTAAGTTTGGATGTTGAATGTCTCCCAGAGGCCCATGTGTTGGTCTCAGCCCCCAGCTTGGCATTATTGGGGAGTGGTGGAATCTTTGAGAGGTGGGGCCTATCCCTGTAGAGTTTTAGGTCATTAGGGGCATACAGATGAAGGGGATTGTGGGACATGGCTTCTTCTGATGTCTCCATTCCTTGTCATGAGGTGGAAAGGCTTTGCTCCAGTATACACTACCCACAGGCCCAAAAGCAACAGGGCCAACCTTCAAAACTGTTAGACAAAACAATCCCATTAATAAGTTAATTACCTCAGGTATTTGTTTCAGTAACAGAATGCTAACATAGTAGATATCCAGAAAATTCTCTTTTGGGGCCTATAAACTACCAAAGTCAGATCATTTGGTGTGCTTCGCTCATGAAAGTATTCTAGTTGTTATACTGTCAGGAGAGGCCCACTCAGAGCCTTTTTATTTCAAGTTTTTTGTAGGACAGCAGAGATACCTTAGATCCTTTTTGCACAAGTTGTTCTCATAACCAAATATCAAATAACCACAGTTCTGAGAAGTTTAAGAAAAAAGATTCATAAAATACAATGTTTCATGTTTCTTTTTGCTATATTTTCCTGCTTTGAGTTCAACATGTGTAAATCATTCTGTTACTATAAGCTTAATGAATGAAGTAAAAAGTAATAATGAAAAAATGTAATAATGAAATAAAGTTTTAATCACAATTTTTTTTTGGCATGATCAGCTTGATTATATTTGATATACACTCAGGGGGGTTTGTATTTCAGATGAAACTTTTCTTAAAACGATTCATGTGTCCCAGATGTGACCTAGTTTCATTCTGGGAAATGAATGCTGAGTGTGGCACAGGGAAGTCAAGCAGACAGAGCTATTTCAGGAGCTATTAATGTGGTACACTTATAGGAAAAAATATGTGAATCCAGCTGGCCAGTGAAAACATTCCTTGAGCATATACTATGTACTAAGTGACATTCCAGGATCCAGAAATGCAAATATAAAGGTCAAATCCTGAGCTTCAGGAACTCATGGACTAGTTGAAAAGAAAGACAACAAACTTGTCACTATGTAAAAGAAAACAAATGTAAAAGATAACTTGAATCTAATGTATGAAATATGATATGTCAAGAGCTTTATAATGTTTTGAACAACCAATAAAAAAAATTAAAAAAAAAAAAGACAAAGCATAATGTGTGCAATCACAGAAGTCTGAAAAAGGTGGAGAAACATTTTGTAAAATACAGCTGTTTGTTCTGTCTAAGGAGAGTTCATGGCCAAGGCTTCACAAAAGAGATGGAATCAGAGAAAATTCTAAAGTTTAAAATTACAGTTTGGAAACTGTCTTAAATTAAGTTATGATCTATAGATGGAAACATGTCCATTTGGATAAATGAAAAAAAAGAAAGAAAGAAAATGGAATAGAAAATGCATGGCACAGTTCTAAGCATAAAATAAGAACCATTAAGTGCTTTCTCTTTTTGTCTTGTGTATTTTTAAATAAAGGTAAAATTCACTTAATGTAATTTGCACCCTTTTAATCATTTTAAAGTGCATAATTCAGCGATGGATTGATAATGTTTTGTATCTATCACCACTATTTAATTCCAGAATATTTTCAACATTCCCCAAAGAAACCTTTTTCCCAATGAGCAGTCCCTGGCCTTTTCTCTCCACTCCCTGCCCCGCACTAGCATACGAAAACCCACTAATTAACCTGATTTCTATCTCTGCCTACTCTGAACATTTCAAAAAAATATGATCATATACGATGTAGCCTTTTGTATCCGGATTCATTCATTTGGTACAATGTTTTCAAGGTGCATCCATGTTGCAATATGAATCAGTACTTCATTCATTTTTATAGTTGAATGACATCCCACTATATCTATATGCCTCATTTTGTTGGGGCACTGGATTTTTTCCCCTCACATTTTGACTATTGTGAATAGTGCTGCTGTGAACATTCATATTCAATTTTTTTGTTTGTTTGTTTTGGTTTTTTTTTTTTTTTTTTTTTTTTGTGACTTGTTTTCAATCTCTTGAGTAAATACCTACAAATACAATTGCTAGGTCACATAGTAACTATACTACGTTTAACTTTCTAAGGTTAAACACCAAGCTGTTTTCCCACTTGATACGATGTGGCTGCATCACTTGACATTCCCTGGACTAATGTATGTAGGTTCAAGTTTTTCCACACCTTGACAACACTTGTTATTTTCCATTTTTGTTGTTGTTACTGTGGTGATTCTCTTATCTTTCTTTTCCTTTTCCATTTTGTAGCCACTCTGGTACATGTGAAATGGCATTTCATCATGGTTTTCATTTGTATTACTCTAATGATGATGATGTTGACATGTTTATATGTCCTTATTAGCCACTAAGGCATCTTCCATGGAGTAATGTCTATTTTTAAATTGTGCTTTTTTGCTCATTTTTATTGTCAATAGCAAGAGTTCCATATATACTCTGGATATAAGTCTATTTATTAGATATGTGGTATACAAATATATTCTTATACTTTGTAGGTTGTTTCATTTTATTGATAGTGTCCTTTGATGAATAAAGTTTTTATTTTAATAAAGTCCAAGTAATCTATGTTTTTCTTTTGTTGCTTGTGATTCTGGTATCATATTTAAGAAAACATTGCTTAATCTGAGATCATGAAGATTGACACCTATTTCTTTCAAAGAATTGTATGGTTGTAAACCTTACATTTAGATTTTTTACCTATTTTGAATAAACTTTTTGTATATGGTATAAGGTAGATATGCAAATTTATTCTTTTGTTTATGGATATCCAGTTGTCCCAGCACCATCTATTGAGGACTATTCTGTCCACATTGAATGGTCTTGGCATCTGTGTTAATCAGTTTCTCACCACTGTGACCAAAATGACTGACAAGAACAATTTAGAAGAGGAAAATGTTATTTTGGCTCATGGGTTCAGACTTTCAGCCCATGAATGAATAACTACAATTGTTCTGGGCACAAAATGAGGAAAAATCCTGATGGAAGGTTGTGGAAGAGGAACACTACTCAGCTCATGACTCATGGCAGCCAGAAAGCAGAGGGAGGAAATGAGTGAGAAAAGGGTGGGGGAAGAGAGAAGATCCAGGGACAAAATTTATATAATCCCTATGGCAGGTCTCCAGTGAACCACTTCCTCTAGCGTGCCCTACCTGCCCACAGATGTCACCCAGAAATCCATTCAGATTATTAATACACCAAATGGATCAATCAACTAATTAGGTTCTGGTTCTCACAATCTAATCATTTCACCTCTTGCTTTTAGTGGACACCTCATTCCAAACCAAGACATTTCTGCTCAGGGGTCCCAAAAGTTCACGTACATCTCATAATGCAAAAATGCATTTGGTCCATCTTTAAGAGTCTCCATAGTCTTAAGAGTTCCATCATTACCCCCAAAGTTCAAGTCCAAAGTCTCCTCTGAGACCCAAGGCAAACTCTTGGCTGTGAGCCCCTGTAAAGATCAAAAGCAAATTAGATATATCCAATATATGATGACACAGAGTAAACATTCCCATTTCAAAAGGGAGGGATAGAGGATAGAAAGAAAGGATGGGACCAAAACAAGACCAAAATTCAGCGGGGAAAACATTCTATGACTAGCATCTGGGACACATGGCAGTAACATGTAATCTCCAAAGGGTTTGGATAGCCCTGTCCCTTTGACCTTATCGGATGCAGCCTTAATGGCCTCTCTCTCAGGTCTGCTCTCTCTATAGTCAGCGATTTTCCTTAGCAAACTTTCCAGGTTACTGGCATCTCTTAGTTACTGGGGTCTACATTCCAGCTTTGGCTTCCTTTTCACAGCTTCACACATCACCCTTTCAGGGACTGCCTTTAGGGATTCTGAATGTTCTACATGGTTTCCCAGGCCTTCCTTTGAAATCACAGTGGAGGCCTCCAAGACCCTGACTCCAGCATCCTGCAATGCCGCAGTCTGACTGGGCACAATTCACCAGCCACTTGTCAAGCAGAAACGAACTTTATTTTTAGAACACACGCTGCACTACAGGAGCTCTTTAGGAATTCCCTCAGAGCCCAACGGCCACCACTGGCTTCCAGGGAGCCTCCCAACCCCCCACTCCTCCCGCTCTTGAGGCCGATTGGCTGGGTTGTGGGCGGAGCCAAAAGAGTCCCCCAATGAGCAGCTCTGTGGTCTGAAAGGGTGGGGAAACAGCCCAATGAGCATCGCAGCAGAGGAGCCAATCAGTTGGCAGCTGGAAATTTGCTGGGCCGCATCAGCTGTGGCTCTCACGCTGCAGTCCTGCAGAACCAGCATTACAAGGACTACACCAAGGTCTGCTGCCAGTTCAAGAAGTAGCTGGGACCTCTTGGGCTACTTCTGCAGTAGCCTCTGAGTGCCTTGGTGGCAGAACATGGTAAAATAAATCCTAAGAAGATATTTGTCTGGGTATATCTGTTCAAGCAGGGTGTCCCCAAAGTCTCTTTAAGACAAATTTTCACTTCTACACCCTGTATCCTGCAATAGATGTGGTCTTATTGGTTCTTGGGATCCCCTCAAGGCATCTTTCCTGTTGTCACTGTGCAAAGTACTTAGCTTCTCTTTAATGGTGGTACTTTCTTCAGCAACCCCAACTTCCTTTTCCGTGGTATTATGTGCAATTCTTCTCTAGTCAAACTACCAGTTTCTCAAATTGTTCCTCTATGCTTTTTGCTCTGAAACCTCACAATAAACCTGACTAAAAGCTTCCCACAACACCCATGCTACTGCCTGATGCTGCACTGCCTTGAGATTTCCTTTCCAGATTAATTATTCCATTGCCTTTATATTTAGCCTCATAGAAAGCCTCAGGACATGGGCCAAATGTAGATAACTTCTTCACCAGAATGTAGCATGAAGAGTTTCTAGTTCAACTTCCAGTGGAGTCCCCAATCCACTCTGAAACCTTATGAGCACAATCTTTACCACTGTACAGAACAACCCCATTTCTCAATACCCATGTATGTGTTAGTTAGCTTTTCATTATAGTGAAAAAATACTTGACAAAAACAATTTAGAGGAGGAAGTTTACTTTGGCTCATGGTTTCAGAGGTTCAGTCCATGGATGGCTGACTGCAATTGCTCTCAACATAGATAAGGTAGAATGCCAGTGAAAATCAATTATCATAGATGAATGAGATTTTTTTTCTAGACTCAATTATATTCCATTGATCATCTCTCCTTTTCACATTACCACACTGTTTTCATTATTAGAGCTTCTCTTTAGTCAGTTTTGGAATAGGTAACTGTGAATTCTCCCAACTTAATTTTTTCATGATTTCAGATTCTGTACTATTTGCAATGCCATATAAAATTTTAAATCATCTTGTCCATCTATTCAAAAAAGTAGTTGAGATCTGGAAAGAGTGTATGGCGTTTACAGGTCAATTTGGGGAATTCTGCCCTTGTAATAAGTCTTTCAATGCATGAACATGGGATGACTTTCTATATATTTAGGTGTTCTTTAATTTCTTTCATCAACGTAAAATTAAAATGTATGAATCTTACACATCCTTGGTTAATGTATTCTTTAGTATATTATTCTTTTTATTATACTTTAAATTTATTATTTTCATTATATTTTAAGAGTAATTGTTTTATTATTTTCTACTTGAGATTATTCATTGCTGGTATACAGAAATACATTGAATCTTCTGGTGTTGATCTTATAACCTA